GGGATTTTATTCAGCTGTGTAGAAGGGGCCTCAATAAAGTTCTTGAAGTCCAATGTTAGATAGAAAAGGGATTGGGAAACATAGCTCTAATGGTAAATTCTATAAAACAAATACTGGTTTAGCATTCACATTTTGAGGCGATGGGGTTGATCTAAGATTTTTTCTTTTTTGGTTTCTTTTTTTAAGAGACAACAGCCATGTATATTAAAAGTGGCTTTAAAATGTACCAAGGCACCATGGGAAGACTCAATTTTGCTTCTCCTGTTTGATCACTGCATAGTCAAATAAATACTTCATCTAAAACATCTATCACACAACATGTTAAACTTAAAAATGCTGTGCTTTAATATACATATTTTTAAAGGGCAAAAGAGATATTGTACCCAAGTGCATCCTATAATCTGTTTCTTTGAAGTATTTTCCTATAACATTTAACAAAACAAAACACAATTTGCAAAAGATTCCTATAGGAGAGAAAGTGCTAAGATGTCATCCTCCGAGGAAGACAGAAGCCCTACTTTGCTTCTTTCTCTGAAGGCCACAATTCTAGAGGCGAAGGCTTTGGTTGAAATTTCAGGAATTAGTATGACAACGGTACAGTTTATTGGCAGTGTAACAATAGTTGAACTTCAGAGTTTCTGAATACCACAGGAATGGATGCTATTTATAAAGCAATGGAAGGTTTTTACTCTTATAAACGAGGCCTAGACAGTTCAATCCCTCATAATGATTTTTGTTACAGAATCCATACAGAACTGTACCCAGAAGATGGGCATTCTTTAATATTGTTATCAGGACAATTCCCCCAAATTTCAGTCACATACAGATATGTTAAACAAGAAGGAAAACGGTTTGGACAAAAATGTATCCTAATAAATTTCTTAATTTTTACAATTTAAATCCGTTATTTTTGTCCCAACCAGCAAAATCTATTAAGATAAAATGTCATGCCATTATTTGGTGAATGATGAAAAAGTGCAGTAGACATAACATGCTGTGTAGTTCAGTGGTTCTCAATCCGTGGGTCCCCAGATGTTTGACCTTCAACTCCCAGAAATCCTAACACATTGGTAAACTGGCTGGGATATCTGGAAGTTGTAGGCCAAAACACCTGGGAACTCTCAGGATGAGAACCACTGCTGTAGTTGCTATCAACATATCTGCATTGGAAGAAAATAAAAATGTCTTCCACTTGGGTGATATTTGTATTCACTGGGGAAATGTCCCACAATACAAGAGGAATCTTGTATCTAATTCAGTTTTATTTTATTACATCTATTTTTTGGTTCCCTGTGCACTTCTTTGGACATGGATAATTTTTATATTATTCAATACATTGGAATTCCCATTAGAGTCGGAAAATATTCCACTATACAACCAGTGGCCTTCAGTCTAATCCAGTGGTTCCCACCTTTGGTCCTCCAGGTGTTTTGGACTTCAACTTTCAGAAATCCCAGCCAGTTTACTAGCTGTTAGGAATAATGGGAGCTGAAGTACAAAACACCTTGAGGACCAAAGGTTGGGAACCACTGGTCTAATCAATGTGAACACCAATTACAATGGCCTTCATAATTTTACTCCACCATCTTCACTTGACTCCTTAAGAAGAGAATTCGGCCTTAATTAACTTATGGAAAATGCACAGCATTTGGAGCATTTAAATAAAATCAATGCATGACTTATTTTCTACTTAATTCACTCTTCAAAAGAAAATTAAATGTTTCAATTTCAGCAACAAAATATACGTAATAATACAATCTTTTCCATCCTGTGGAGTTTTTATAAAACATCACAAATACATAAAAGGAGGACTGGATTGAAATTCGAACGATTAATACTGCAAATAGATCAGGTTGTTAAGGATTTAGAAAAAAAGTAACAGTCCATTGAAAAACTCAAAATTGTAGGCAATGTTTGACCCTGAAAAGTACTCAAACATATTGCTGCACTAATGTCTGTGCAAAAGCCCTTCAAATGAGCTCTGATCTTGCAATGGATGGAGTTTTGGATCCCTGAATGTATTAATCAGCGAAGGTTCTGTTGCAAGCATGGCCTTGAGGAATGTATCTCAACATTAGGCCTAACAAAAAAAATATTTTTTTAATTTTAATTTTTTTTCAAAAAGGCATTACAAATCTTCAACTGTATATTTTATACACGGATACGGAAAATGCAAAGCTATGCTTTTTTTCTCTTCTCTACCTACAAAGCTCTATCTTGCTTTATTTACCATTGAGGGGATGACTGAATGATTTCAGTGCACTAGTCTAAAGAAAGGTGCAATCTTGGCCAATAAGGCCACTCACACAAAGCACCATGAGGAATATTTCTGAATTCCTTTCAGGAGTTTTATCTAAGTTATACATTGGTTAATAGCAACTATTCATGCAATATTATACCACCTTTTCTTGTGCATCTCTAAAGAGGTCTCGCCAATAACGGTCCCTTTCACAATTCAACTTTGGATAATACTTGTTATACATCTGGAATTTTCAACTTCTTCCTCCCATTATGGCATCACCATCAAGGCTATGCTGTTTCCTCCAATTTGCATAGGAATGTAAGAGATGATACATGGCAGATCCTTGAAGACAACATCAGCGCTTCCATCCTTTCATAAGCAGTCATTTCATTCTTCTCGTCTACAGCCACAGTTCCCTCAATGGTCCCGTATTTCTCACCATGTAACTTCACCAAGTGAAGTACATAATTGCAAAGTGATAAAATCCATTTAGAACCTGTCATGATTCCAGAAATATGATTCCCCTGCCCTCAACTGTCACTTCAGAACAAAACCTAGAAGACCTTTCTAGCAGCTTTCCAGGTGTGGAATATCCTGTGAAAGTAATTAATTCTTCCAACAATATCAGAATTCATATGCTGGGCAGCTGTTTTGCACCCATATGGAAAACTAAATGAAAAACTTGTAACAGGTCAATGGAATGTGTCCTGCTGTCAGATATTTCCTGCTTATACCTGGGTGCCTGGATAACAGCTGTCGCACACAACTGGAAGGGAAAAAGGTGTCTCTGACACCCAAGAGCCAAATAAAAAGGAACAATAATTAAAACAGGTTTAACTGTACCGTGAGAAAAATGGAAGCTTGGGGTAGAGATATTAGCAGAAAACCACAGAAATTCTTATTAATGTACTTTGGTTCATAAGTGCACTAACTCACTTTTAAATATTTGTCTTACATAGTTCAAAAGTAGAGTGCTTCACAGACACCCACAAAATTATAGAATAAATGGGGATCTGCAGAATAATACAGGTTTCAGAGGAAAACTCTAGGAGCATAACTGTTAATAAAATTTAAGTTTAACCACCTAGGGGACAGTGATATTTTAACACTGTTACATTTTAGCACCCCAATCCAAAGAAGCACATGTGCAGCTGCCATGGCCTTGCACATATAGTCCTTTAAAGCACAAACAACCACCAAGCCAGCTGTTGGTCTAAAAAAGGGAACCGGAGAAACTGAAACCAAACCCTGGGGCCACTTCTGAAATGGGAAGCAGAAAAGTTTTAGCCTATTTTTAATGGTGGCTCTGTATGTATTATCCTAGCTGCCCAAATACGGAATAGAACACGAAAAGTTACTTTTTATAAAGTAGTTAAGTTATAGGTCCTTGGTCCAGATGTACTTACCATGATAAGTACATTTTAAATACTTAGTTATTCAGTTCTTCAAAAGTAACTAAAACACTAAAAAATATCTAATTGCAACAATATGAAACATAGTACAAGTCGTGTACTATTTCTCTGTTACTATTTGGCTGCTCAAAGAGTGAATTATCCTTCATTAACTTTTAATTATAATATACCTTCATTATACTTCACAATTGGAAAGAAGAACTAATCATTTGAGTTATTCATTATCTGTAATATCCTGCTCCTGAGCGCTGATTGTGACAGAGGAAGATAACTTTGCATACAGCACAGAGTTGTGTATGTAGCTCCTCCACAATAACTTAACAGTCTTCAAACAGATAGCCATGTTTGTTCATTTTAGTAGTAAAAGAGAAAGGGATCTTCTGGCATTTTTAAGACTGTGCAATCTGTTTAAGTTTAAGTTTTCATGAACTACTGCCTGCTTTTTTAGATGTAAGCAGTATTGTAGGGTTTATAGTTGATGATATGCTCCATACCCCTGTCCCCTTCCCCTATATATTTGAAACCATGGATAACAGTGAACCTATATTTTGACTATATTGGTCTAGAAAAAGACCATAGAATTGCACTGAAAAACCTAAGAGATCTACTTTCAGGAAGGAATATTTTCTGGAGTGTGGGTAAGTGTAATTGTGGATATTGACTCCATGGAAAGCAAGGTTGTACCATACATCAGCTCACGTTAATATAAACTGGTTAGTCTTAAAGCTATCACATGTCTCCTTTCTCCAACCATCTTACCTCATATGCGGAATTGATAGGTGGATAGAAAATTTCTGTGGACTTCTGAAAACTGATACCAGTGTTACCACAGCTGAGGTCAGAAATGGTCTTTGGAGGGCTAAACTTCATTACAGATACTATATAGATTGTCATGCAATTATTGCTCGGAGTATTCTTGTGTCGCTTAGTTTTTCAAGAGTCCCGAATCCCTTCAGGGATATATAAAATAAAGTTTTATTATAAGAGTCAAAATTCACTGGATCAGTTTGATCCAGACTCTCATACAGATCACTGCTTGAAACTAATATTCAGAAATCAAATTTAGCACAGAAGTTCCACACAGAAATATAGAAGAGTATCATCTATGGGAGGAACTCCCAAAGAAGTTTCTGCTTCAGGAAGACTTGAGCTCCATTAAACATTGTTAGACCGAAATAGATTCACTGAATCATGTTGAACTTGCCATTTAGTGACTGCTTCAATGGGTCCGTTGTAGGATTCCAGCCCTTGCGTGATAGGGAAGAAGAAGACATCCGGCCAAGGTCCAAAACCTTATTGGAAGTAAACACTACAAGATCCTTCCACAAGATCAAGTGTGGAATAGCTGAAACACATCTATGATTGAATAAGCAAAGAAAGTAAGCACTTCAAGTCTTTTGGAATTCAAAGCGAATTCAAAAATGGATTCTGCTGGTTGGGTGTGAAGAATGAGCTGGAGGTGGAATCTGTGTTCAATAGTGCTGAAAGGAGAGGAAGAAGCCTTCTGAAAATACCAGCTGCAAAGGTGGGTTCAAGAGAAGTTTTAGAACAGCACACAGTCATTCTAAGGACAGCTGAAATCAGTTTCACCTTGGAATAGGCGGAAGTGGGGGAGCGCCTCTTTCTCTACGGCTGGATCCACCTGAAAGAGAAAGACCTCACAGTGATACTTTCATATGTATTTTCAAACTTTGATAGTTTGTGTACAAGCTAACCATCTAAAATGGCCCCATCACTCAAATGCAAGACACCTCTATTATTATTGAATGGAATCGAAAAACAATTTAAATATGTGTGTGATAAAAAATTTAAGAATATGATGGCTTGAGAGGCCTATAAGGTAACTTCCTACTGGTGGGAGTTGCTGTTGTTTGAAACTTGTAGACAAAGTAATCATTTCTCAACAAGGCAAACATCAATTTTTTAAAATTGCTGGGCAAAGGAGGCTTGCAGGCTTTTTCAAGCATCACAATCCTATCCTTTACTTTTCTTCAACCCAAATGTTGACCAGATATTAGAATATTATCACCACTGTACTACAATGGTAGCTCACATTATAAGAAAGAAAGAAAGAAAGAAAGAAAGAAAGAAAGGGAAATATGCATCCGCTGTGGAATGCTACTTCTGTCATGCTACTTTCATATTTTGAGGGGAATGGGAATACCCTTTGCTCACAACTTAATTACAACGAAAATGTAAGTTAAACTACAACTGATTTGCTGTGAGTTTTCCAGGCCATCTGGCCATGTTCCAGAAGCATTCTCTCCTGACGTTTTGCCCATATCTATGGCAGGCATCCTCAGAGGTTATGAGGTCTGTTGGAAACTAGGCAAGTGGGGTTTATATATCTGTGGAAGGTCCAGGGTGGGAGAAAGATCTGTTATCCGCTTGGACAAAATACAGCCTAGAAAACTCACAGCAATCCAGTGATTCTGGCCATGGAAGCCTTTGACAACACATTATAACACTGAACATCATGGACAAAGTACACACACATACATCCATCAATTTAAATCAGGCCTAGTCAATGGACAACCTGCAGGCCACACACAACCTCTGGGAATCCTTATGTACAATCCTTGAAGCTGCCCAGAAAACTCCAGTCCTGCCAATTTTTAAAAAGGATTTTGGGCCTTTTTTTGGTCAGAAAACTGCCAAAATCACCTGAAAATGCAGCCACTTGCTTCCTCTAACTAAGTTTTTTTGACCAGGGACCACTTGAAAAGGGACTACTTTCCAACATTAGTACCAAGAAAGCTACAAATGAGTTTTTGGTCAACTTTAGATTTGGTTTGGTTATTTGGGGTGCTGATTCAGAAAACTGCATTGGATAGACCACATCAGCTCCAGTTTCTGGATATTTTTTGTTGCAGTAATCATTCATCAAACATAAATGAGATAGCACTTACTTCTATTATCATTCCTTCCCAGTTTGCTGGGGTAGCTTTTGTTCATGGGCACATATGGCTCTGGAGGTGGCAAGTCAGACAGAGGATGGAAGGAAAAGCGGCTTTCCCACTCATCTAGATAAAACAAGAACAGCAATATTTTCTTAACCTCTGCAATTCTATATTACAGATAGGACATCCCAAATAGAAATACTCATTCAGAGGTATTCACAACGTAGAAAATAATGGATGACAGGAGAGATAAATTGTCCTCAGAGTGGCAGATTTCCCCCCACCCCTTGCAGTACTCTATAGGTGAATGATATCAGGGGTGTGGCCAACCCCACCGTATTCTCCAGTTCCTAGCAGAAGTGTCAGATGGAGCTTTTCCAAATGACACGTGATAATAAAACCTGACAGTGTAGATGGATTTGCTCCTCTTCCTCATTGTGGATGTGTGGGAAAAGGAAATGCAGCAGTGAAAGGAACCTCTGCTTTCTTTGATTATCCATTTAGGGCAGTGGTTCTCAACCTGTGGGTCCCCAAGTGTTTTGGTCTACAACTCTCAGAAATTCCAGCCAATGTACCATCTGCTAGGATTGCTGGGAGTTGAAGGCCAAAACATCTGGGGACCCGCAAGCTGAGAACCACTGGTTTAGGAAATGATGGATTTTGTGGCTCCTATTTGTAACTAGTGGAGCTTAAGGTTTAACCAGTATAGTTATGGGAAAGCTTGGGAAAGTTGCCAATTGAGTGCCAGTGCAGGGGTGTTTTCTGGTACATCCCTATGGCCAATCAGTATGCATTTATATAAGCAGAGTAGAGAAGTACATGGAAAAAATGATATTAAAAATATTTTACAGAAACAATGTATTCAAGCGAACACTACATCTCAAATCCAGTACAAAGTGTTATATTGAAGTGATGATTCCTGACTATTCAAATACAGATCTCCAGCTGACATAACAATTGAACTAGATTATCTTTCCAAAAATCAGCACAAAAAAAGGGAGAGCAAGAGACTGATATTTTTGTGTGCGTAACTAATATGATTGTATCCCACCTCATAAAATGTAGAGTGGTCTTGGTTATCTCTGGTAGCCTTTCGTTTTTTAAGTTCTCCATCAACATGATTTTCCAGACTCTATCTAACCACCCAAAACTTGACAAAGCATTTAAGCCTTTTGAAATTTGTGAAATCTCTATACACATGCTACCAAATACAGTATATTCTGGCGTATAAGACTACTTTTTAACCCAAGAAAATCTTCTCAAAAGTCAGGGGTCGTCTTATACGCGGGTGTAGTCTTATGCATGGGAGTCGTCTTAACTCTATATTTTAACTGGAAAAGTTGGGGGTCGTCTTATACGCCCAGTCGTCTTATATGCCGGAATATACGGTAGATAAACATGATCAATTCTTTATGCGAAAGATACTAATTTGCATTTTTAAAAAGAGAAAGTGGTCCCAACTCTGGCAATAGTTTTCGTGTGATGTAGTTTTACTGATGTCTCCAAATACCAAATTCAAGAAATGAAGGACTTCTGAACATGACTACCACATATAGTGGTACGACCTGCTCTCAAGTAGTTTAGCAAAACTGCTGCATAAAGAGGTATTGGGAAACTCCTTATACAAGGTCAGAAAAAGCCATTACACATGGATAATCCACAGTAAAGGTGGTTCTGGCCTCTCTTTATATGGAAGTGTTTAGATATCTATAGCTGTATAGCTAAATAATGAAAAAGGTGTCTATATAAGGTAATTCAATTTTATACAGAGCATGTATATCTGTTTGAAGTAAAATTCATGTTTTTCTAGAATATCATTATGCAAAGGGATCTTGTAACACCTTAGAAGTAGACATAATTTAGGAAAGTTTATACCATCAACCTCATTCTCTCAGTATCTAAGATGCTATAAGATCCCTTTGGTTATTACTTAGAGTAAGTCCTATTGAACATACTGGGCTTATTTTTCAGTAAACATGAATTATAACTTTACTTTCCTCTTTTTTCAGGGCAGGAGTATGTTACTCTTAATTCGTTCCTTCAGGGAACGCAACCATCTTTGCTTGCATCAGAACAGATTGTGCTTTTTATGCTAACAAAGTTGCATGTTGTGCAAAAAGAAACTCCGTCTCCTCCTCACTTATCCCACAATAAAGCTTTTCATCAGGTACTGTGATGGGAAGTGAACAAAAATTAGTATCAGTCTGTAATGCTGGAGCATTATCGTCCTTGTAGCCTCAGTCCATCTATCATAATGTAATTAATTCCAAGTGCACAGACACAGCTTCTCTTGAAATAGCTGCCTGTGTCCAGTGCCTAGCAAACTGAAGGCAATTGATACGTAAAATATCATTCCTAAAATAAATAGTCTGTGATTATGAAAAAACGTTTTTCTTCATTTTTGATATCGTAGGTCTTGATATTCAGCATTATATGGCTGTGTGGAAGGGCTCTGTGTTCCCCCAAGTAGGAAAGTTTTGATACTCTGAATTTTACAGGCAACAGTCTCTCTCCAATGGTCATATCAGATTGGTCAGACAGAGCTGCAGGTCAAAACAGATGGAGGCTAAAACATTTGCCTTTCCGCCTCTGTGTAGGGACTCCTATCTCTTGAAGACAATTTATTGAAAGTATGGAGGTTGGGAACATGCAATCTCAATTTCTCGAACTCCAGGTGTTCAACCTCTCAAGAAAACAGCTTCCACTCACCTTCACAGGAAGAATCCTGGAAGCCATTCCGCATTGCTGATGAGGGTGGTGGTGGTGGAGGCGGTGGTGGGGCTCCAGAGCCTGGCCGGTCAGGAGGAAGTGGAGGCACTGATCCACCTCTGTGTTTCTCAAATCCTCCTCTGGAAGGAAGCTGTGGAGTTGCTGGCAATGCCCGCGAGGTGCTGCCATTTCTGCTTATTGGTGGTGGTGGGGGAGGAAGGGATCCTAAACACAAGAAAAGGAAGAAGCAAACAAGGTTACTGTACTTGCAGTACAGCACTTACCAACCTGAAATTTCCTGTTGGATTTTCTTGTTTTCTTGGCCAGAAAGACCCAAGAATATCATGTACTGAGAGATCAGAATACGTGATCAATTTAAAAGCATTTACTGCCTCTGCATGTCACGTCTTTACTTCTCTCTGGAATTTTTTACAGGTAAGAAAAGGTTCTAGATCATGTTCTATTTGAGATTGGTCTCCTCCCCCAAGCAATTCTGAAGTCTGTATCAGCACTAATTTAATATCTCTGTATGTGAATGATGTCTTGTCACAATGCTTACTACACTAGCATCCATTTAAATAATGGGTGCCAATGCTTTTAAAAAACAACAACATTCCTATCAGCCTTTCCCAGGATAGTTAATAGACTTCCCATGCCTCATTCTACTGGTGATGGGATTTTTTTTACTGCTTTTGGAAGAAAACCCCCAAATGTGTGAAATACACAGTCAGCTGCCTAGTGTCAATGTATTATCTACTTGTTCAAAAGTATATATAAATCAGAATACCTTAAAATAATATTGCACACAACAAAATCTCAGTCATGTTTCTTTAAGGGATGAAAGGAGGCTTGCTGGAGGGGATGGAAGAAGAGCAAAGATGGAGCCATGCTACCCTTTCTAGGGACGGAGATGCAAACAAACACCAAGAAGAGCAAACACCTCTTATGTATCCCCACAAAATGATACTGAAAAGGCCTCTCCAGTCAGTCTTAGAGCTCTAATGGGCTCAGAAAAGGAGACAGGGTCCTTCAAATACCCTGGACCCAAGTTGCAAAGGGACTTGTCTTCAGAACATTAGTTTATATACCTATGTTTACCATATAACATCTCATGCTATTGGGTAAATTGGGATTTTTCCCAAAAGAATGCAGAGAAGCCTTACCTGATCTACTGGGAGGATCTCTCACAGGTGGTGGTGGCCTTTCATTTGGTGGGGGTGGAAGAGGTCCAGACCGACCAGAGCTTGGCAAACTTGGTGGAGCAGGAGATGCAAGTGATATGTTTCTTTGAGGGAGCCGTGGCATTTCATCATTTCCTCCAGACATGGGTGGAACTGGAGGTGGGCCTGGCCTATTGGGAGGAGGGGGAGGAGGAACCAGAGACCCAAAGGATGGCCGAGGTGTTGAAGGCACTGGAGGCTTGTTGTTCTGAGGAGGAGGAGGGGGCAGGGAAGGTTCTCTGTTGAAAGGAGGCCTGTTTCCTGAGGGGGGTGGTGGTGGAGGTGGCTTATCATCTATTGGCCTGCCTGGTGCTGGAGGAAGAGGAGGCCTATTTGAGGAAGGAGAAGAAGAAGCAGGGCTGCCTGGTGATGATTGGCGCATGGATCCTCCAAATCTGTTTCCTGGGAATGGTGGTGGCGTAAGACCCAAGCTGGCTTGCCTGCTTGCTCCTGGCAGAAGAGGAGCTCCTCGGTTGTGCAGACTTGATGGGACGGGCCGTGGAGTATTTGGCACAGGAGGGGCACCAGTGTCAGGCCTGGATCCAGCATCAGGTCTTGGGGGAGGCATTCGGTTTCTTTGTGGTTCCATAGCTGGAGTTCTTTGGCCAGGAGAAGGGCCTGGAAACCGGCCTATGCCACTAGGGGCTGAAAAGGGCTTGGCAGATGTCGCACGTCCTCCTGGTGGGAACACTGGAGCTCTGCTTCCTGCAGAATCTGAGAAAGCAAAGAAATTGGTTATATAGGGGTGGGGAAACAATATAAGGAATATTGATCAAATATTGGGAATTATATCCAAAATGCACAAACATTTATCTCACTATGAATACTTGCATTGAAGAAAATTCAAGAAACTACAGATCTCCTTTAGAAAACCAACAGAGGATCTTTTGTAAGAATTTTCAAGGATGTATGAGAAGGAAGCTCCCCTTTCTTCATGCTAGTTCTCTCTTTATCTTGATTTTAGCAAGCACCAAATCCTCTGTCGTATATTCTCTGCATGACTGTTAGCCTTGCAAAAAAACAGATCGAACTTAATTTGAGAGAAAGGGACACATTTATGTGCTGTCTGTTACTGGATTTTCTGTAGAAGAGGCAGCCTACCAGAGAAACTCCAGTGTGTTAAATGCTGTGGGATTAAGAGGAGATCCATAAATAGCCTGTGACACAACAGATAATGCCAGCTCTTAAAGACTGTGTTATATCAACACAGGCTGAAAGATCACTGCATGTACTTCAGAAACACCACTGTATTCAAGGCCTTGCAAAAGATGTCTCCCATAAGGAACGTACAAAGCTGTCCTGCCTCTGACTCTTTAGCCCAAATGCAATTCTTCCACATCCTTCAGATGCATTGCAGGACAAATCAAAACATTCCCAGCTAGTGGGACTAATGACAGTACTGGATTAGGATGCTGGGAACTGTAGTCCAGCACATCTGGAGGGCCCAGGATTGAGGAAGATTCTCTGCTTCATAAATACATCTAAGCTCCACAACAGCTTAAGTGATAAAGGACATATTGCTTTAAAAATCCAGTATTTTTCTAAAGATGCCACCCCCTGGAAAAAAAATTTAAAAACTGGATTAGGAGATAGTTTAGAGCAACAAATAAAATGTTTAAGGCAAGTTGTAACATAAACATTTTTATATAAGAAAATGATCAGGATGTGATCATTGCAATTCTTGGACTTGGTTACCTTTTCACAGCTCTTTATGGACATGAGTGCTTTATGTGTGCTTGACACTACGGAGAACTAGAAGATACCAAGTATTTTTTCCTGTTTCACTAAAGTTGATGGTTTCTTTGGGTTTTTATTGGGATTTTGGTGATTGTTCTTCATAAACTGACAAAACCAAATTGGTTTCTCACTGTTAAGGACCTTGCTTCTCTATTTGTATCCTAAATCAAAATATACATACTTGTAAAAGGAAATTCAATTTGTGATTCCTATCCGATTAAACTGCTCTCTTATCATGCCAAACATGATGACTTTATATCCCTAAATTTGTGCATAACACACTTAATGTCCCAAAAGCAACAAAATGACTTTTAGTCTGCAAAGGATGCTAATATCACATTGGGGGTGGGGTGGGGGAACCAAATATTTCTGTCCCCCCCCCCCCCAAGCTTTACAATTTCTGGTAATTCTGAATCTCTAAATAAGATAGAAACATGATCAAACAGAATTTATCTAAAGTAATCTATACTTGAAGGCAAAAAAGTTAAAGGGCTTTTGATCAAGAAATTGCTTTTGGAAAAAAGATAAAACATTAATTGCAGGAATGAAAAAAAGGGGATTTGCCATGAAATTTTGTCTTAATGGATGTCTGCTGCATTTTAAAAATGACTGTTGAATTTGGCTGAGGAAATACACAGTACAACTTCCACATCAGTGGAGGATACATTCCAATATTTTCCATAGACACCTGATACTGTTGATAATAGCAAACCCTACATTTTGTTTATACTTGGGCCAGAAGCATATCATAGAATCACACTAGATAACCTAAGGAGGCCAACAAACACTTATGGGGGGGGGGGTGTTCCTTTTGGAGTAGGATAGTAACTGAGTCCTCTTGGGGAGATAGGTGCGGGATATAAATAAAGTTTTATTATTATAAGTGAAACCGTGGATATCAAATCCACAAATAAGGGGATAATACTTAAGAGGAAATGATGGCATCTTAAGCTTCTGGTCATGATTCTGGTCATGCCATTCCCTGGTGAATGGGGCAGGAAGGATGGTAATCAGACTGGGTAAAGTGAGAGTTGAGATATTGCGTTATAGTGATTTGAGCACTGGACTCCAGAGACCAGGATTCAAATTCCCATTTGGCCAAGGAAGCTGACAGGATGACTTTGAGCACATCACATTCTCTTAGCCTCAGATGAAACCAAAGGAAAACCTCTCTGAACAAATTTTACCAAGAAGAAAACCCATGACAGGTTTTCCTCAAGATTACCCTTAGTTGGCAGTTACCAAAAGGCACATAGGGACAACATAAACTACCTGTTCTGGGTGTACAATGGTTTAATTATAAATGCAAGTCATAAGTGGACAACCTGTGGCCCTCCCAATATTGTTGAACTTTTATAAGTCCCATCCAAGTCAATGTAGAGGCTGATGAGCATTAAAACCTAGTAACATCTAGAAGTGGGAAGCACAACTTGCCCTCTCTGATTTTTAGTGTGTTCCCAGATAGCTGATTTTATGAAATCCACCCGTTCACACAACTTTCTCCCAAGATTGTTGTTTAGTCAGTCAGCAGCCCTGCTTCTTGGCAATAAAGGTTGAGAAAGCAGGAGGGCTGACACATTTGCTTGAACTTTTAATCATCTAAGCTTGTTGAGGATGCTGGATGCAGTATTCTATCCTTCACAGAAAACATCCTTGACAAAACAAACCACATCTTTCTTACCATTATCCCTATTTGTTGATCTAAGTTTTGGCATCCCTGATTGGAAAAGACCTCCTAAACCAGGAGGCCCACCTCCACCATAACTATTGCTGCTGCTGCCACCACCACTACCGCCACCACCACTACTGGTGAAGCCACCACCACCTCCACCTCCGCCGCCACCCGATCCTTTTGGTTCTGCAGAAAGAGAGAGGAAAACAGTATTAACTTCTTAAATCACAGAAGAATTTGCAGTGTATTTCTACAGATCTTAAACAGAAATCAGGGCCATTCAAGAGAAAAACAGTTGAACCTAACAGAACAGAGTGAGAGACTCTTATAACCTTTCAAGTAGTGTTAGGGCCCATCCAGACAGTGCCCATATCCTGGTCCCTCTCACAAATGACACCTCCAGTAAAAGAAAATTAATTTGAGACAAAGCAGGGAAAGCACTACTTTATCCTGAATTAATTTGAAAGCCTATTAGACCTGTGCCTTTCTGAAAGGCATGGGTCTAACAGGCTATGGGCCCTGTGGGGACAGGCCCATGGGTAGTCCCAGGACTACTCGAGGGCCTGTCTGCACACCCATCTTGCACCTTTTGGGCTCCTGGAGTCCAAAGATGGGAGAGGGCATCCACCCCTCCCCCCCTCCTCAAAGCCCTTAAAATTAAAATAAAACTTACTGGAAACCATTAGACATCTCTTCAGGCCTGATGGAACATACTAATGATGCATGAGAAGATGAGGGTCGCCAGGGGTGATTTGGCCTCCCATCTCCTTACATGACATTGGTATGTTCCTCCAGGCTGAAGAGAGGTGTAATGGCGCCCAATAAGATTTGTTTTTATTTTTAAGGAGTTTGTGGGGTGTTTTGGGGGTGACCCCATGGCAGCATGGAAGTTACCGCACTGCTATGAGGACATCCCATAGAAAAGCCTGTTTTACCTCCTGGGGTGTGCAGACTTTGATGCGCTTTGGAGTGGGTTCACTTAACCTCCTCTGAAGTGGGTTAAATGTATGTCTGGAAGTGCCCTTGGATTTCAGTGCCTCAACCTGTGGGTCCCCAGGTGTTTTGGCCTACAACTCCCAGAAATCCTAACAGCTGGTAAACTGGCTGGGATTTCTGGGAGTTGTAGGCCAAAAACATCTGAGGACCCCAGGTTGAGAACCACTGGCATAAACCAACATGATCAATAGTGAAGAATGGTGAAAGTGCTACTTCATCATTGTGAGCCACTTCACATCTCATTTGTGAGATAAATGTAGAATAATAATAATAATAATAATAATAATAATAATAATAATAATTTATCAGCATCTGGAAGGAAATAGGTTTGCCATCCCTGGTCTAAATTAACCCCCCCCCCCACCACCTCACTAACATGTCCACTGACCTAATCAAAAAAGTTTCTGAATCCCAGCTCTCTATTCATAAACACAGCAAAATTATATACTTCACAACTTAGTTGATTAGGAATTCTTCAACTAAATATAGTGTTGATGACCTGTGAAATGATACATAAATATACTTACTATCAATGACTGGGGCACTTCTATCATTGGTAACAGCTTTCTTAAGTCGTTTCCCTTTGGTAATATCTGACAGAAGAGCATTTCGACCTGCTTGTTCTGATTTATTTAAGGAAGGTTTTTCTACATTTGCCTGCAAAGTAATTGGAGTAAAATATCAGGCAAAGGAAAAACAGGAGTACATAATCAAAATTTAGGTTTGAAACATGACACAGGATTGGATTTCCTTTGTACTCAAGAACTCCATTATTTGCTTCATGGTGTTGGTGAGGGTTGGACAAAAAGAGTAATTGTTCTGATGGCTTAAGATGGTTTGGACCACTCTCTGAATCTCTCACCATTTGCCAGAATGTTGAAGCTTCAGGAAGTTGCAATCAAAAGCATGTGGTGGTATAAAGACTGAGAACCACAAGATTTAGCTGAATCACATCCTGTAACCTTGGATAGGCACCCCCAAAGCACTTCATCCTATTGTGACAAGAACTATCAAAAACTATCAAGAGAAGAATAATCAAGAATAGGATTCAGAACCTTTGGTCTTCCAGATGATATAAACTACCATTTCCCATACTAACTGGTAAACAGGGAACAAACGTTGAAAATATTTAGAAAAGCAATGGTTTTCCACCCCTGATTTAAGAGCAGAGGTCGATGTACCCCATGACAAACCTCTTCTAAACAAATCTTACCAGGAAAACCCTGTGTCAGTTTTGCCTTAGAGTTGCCATAGGTGAGAAGCCACATGAAGGCACACAACAACAACAATCAACAGCCACAATATTCTAGAGAATGTAATGAAAAATAAGGAAACATTTATTAAAAAGAAATCTGGAAAGTATTCAGATAGAGGCCTTTCAAAATCACTATGCGTCTGCAGTGATGGAGCCAGGTGAGCCAGGTGAGCCTTAGGGCCCTTCCAGACACTGAACTGGTTTATATGGCAGTGTGGACTCTGATAATGCGGTTCAAAGCAGATATTGTAGATTATCTGCCTTGATATTCTGGGTTATATGGCTGTTTGGAAGGGCCCTTTGGGGACCCTTCTAGACAGGCCCTATATCCCAGTATCTGATTCCAGGTTTTCTGTTTATCCCAGATTATCTGGCAGCGCGGACTCATATATTCCAGTTTATACCAGAAAACCTAGGATAAGATCTTGGGCTATAGGGCTTGTGTGGAAGAGCCCTTAGATCAGGGGTAGGGAACCTTTGGCCCTCCAGCTGTGGTGGACTTCAACTCCCACAATTCCTTGAGGCTCGGCATTGGGCCAAGGTAAGCCTTTGGGGCGAATGCCGAGCCTCAAGGAATTGTGGGAGTTGAAGTCCACCACAGCTGGAGGGCCAAAGGTTCCCTACCCCTGCCTTAGATAGAAGAATGTTCTACCTTGTACAAAAAGCTCTTATTTGGTCATAGCTGAACTCAGTTCATCTCATTATCTCACACCTGATGGATTGAAATGGCATATAATTAGCATTTCTTGAGGTTAAATTAAAATAAATTTATTTCTGAAATGTCTAGAAAGATTTGGCTTTGATTTTCATGCTCTTGCCAGGTTGCAGTATGGGCAATGTCTATTTGGTGAAATGGTGATACTACTTTTCGACGAGGTGGGGACGAGGGAGAGGGCCTTTTCAGTGGTGCCCCCCCCCAGCTCTGGAATGCCCTCCCCAGGGTTATTAGTCAAGCCCCCACACTGTCCTCCTTCCATAGGGACCTGAAGACCTGGCTATTCAAACAAGCTTTTGAAAAGCCTAGTCCCTAGTCGATCCATGATTTTTTGACGCAACCTTGCACTTTATCCCATACCGTTGTCCCATGGTTACAGCTCTCTACTTTTCCCATTCCCTGGCCCTATTGTTTGCAGCCTGGCCATGTTTACATTAGCTATCACCACTGATGGATGTGCGCTGTTTTATTTGAGTTGTATGTTGTTGTTACATGGTCATATGTTTTATTCAATTGTATTTTATATTGTATTTTATGTCATGTCTTGTTTTAGGCATGTTGTGCCTTGTGTAAGCCGTCCCGAGTCCCTTCGAGGAGATGGTGGCATGATACAAGAATAAAGTTCTTCTTCTTGTTGTTATATAGTGCTTTTTCAATGGTTTCTTAAACCTCACACCAACCCTAGAACTGGCTTCCTTCTCTCTTTTCCATGGAAGTAGATAAAAGCTGCAGGATTTTGCTTCAGCTACCTTTGGCCTCCCTGGCTTTGGAATGCGTCAAGAAGAGAAATCAGTTCCTCTTGAAAACAGGGAAGTGCATGCTCCTTTTCCTTAATTTTGTGAAGCCAGAGACAAAACTGTTTTATTCACAGAAAAACTACATCTGCTGTACATATGCTTGCTGTTAAATTATCTTCTCTGCAGTTAAAGCTTCAAAAGTGTGAAGATGCTACATCTCCTAAACATGTGCTCAGCACATTCCAACAAGATGGGTAAGTTAGGATTTCCAAATATGTTTCCAACTGTCGACAGGCCTAGAAACGTGAAGCAGCTTTGTTCGTTCATCAGTAAGTTGAAAAGGAAGAGACACTTCTTTTAATTTGCTATTTTGGAAACACACACCAACACACATGGACACATTTTCTAGAGCACAACACTTCCATCATCCTAACACAGGATTTCCTGAATTTATTTGTAAGGGAACAAAATAGTTGATTACTGTATAAAACTTTGAAAAAATTACAACTACTTCAGGAAGAATTTTGCTCTACCACTTCAAAGCCAGAGAACTATTTCCAATTTTACAGGCTCCTAAAAAGTTTATTTAAAATCTGCTGTGTGCTGCTACAAAATGCCTGTGCTGCCTTTTGGTGACAAAAACAAAAGCCTTTAAAAGGCTTAGCAAAAAGAAAGAAAATATTTTGAATGGATAGCATGAAACAGCTTAAATTTTTCCAGATGTTCCAAAAGCTGACTCATGCTCATTCAAGATTCCACTAAATAAGCATATTTTCCCCCACAGGATAGTTAATCATGTGTTAGGTTTCTGTGCTAGATTTTGACGTTTTCTATCCCCCTAAGTCTTGTATTATAACATACCCAAATAGGTTATGAAAAGAGAACAAAATCATTTAAAAAGCTGTGTTCAGTTTCTGTTAAGGCTTCCCAGAGTGTAATGTACATGTTTCTTTAAAACCTGGGGGTTGTGAGGGGGGTGTCAGAGGGGTCACCAAAGACCATAAGAAAATACAGTATTTTCTGTTGGTCATGGGGAACCTCAGATATGCAGATGACACCACTCTGATGGCCGAAAGCGAGGAGGAGCTGAGGAGCCTTCTAATCAAGGTGAAAGAAGAAAGCACCAAATCTGTTGCAGTTAAACATCAAAAAACCATGATTATGCAACCAGTCTGATGGATAACTGGCAAATAGAGGGAGAAAACATGGAGGCAGTGACAGACTTTGTATTTCTAAGTGCAAAGATTACTGCAGGTGCAGACTGCAGCCAGGAAATCAGAAGACATTTACTTCTTGGGAGGAGAGCAATGACCAATCTTGATAAAATAGTGAGTAGAGACATCACACTGGCAAACAAGATCTGCATAGTGAAAGCCATGGTACTCCCTGTAGTAACCTACGGATGTGAGAGCTGGACCTTAGGGAATGCTGAGCGAAGGAAGAGAGATGCTTTGAGCTGTGGTGTTGGAGGAAAGTTCTGAGAGTGCCTTGGACTGCGAGAAGATCCACCCAGTCCATCCTCCAGGAAATAAAGCCCGACTGCTCATTGGAGGGAAGGATACTAGAGACAAAGTTGAAGTACTTTGGCCACATCATGAGGAGACAGCAAAGCCTAGAGAAGGCAATTATTCTGGGGAAGGTGGAAGGTAAAAGGAAGAGGGGCCGACCAAGGGCAAGATGGATGGATGGCATCCTTGAAGTGACTGGACTGACCTTGAAGGAGCTGGGGGTGGTGACGTCCGACAGGGAGCTCTGGCGTGGGCTGGTCCATGAGGTCACGAAGAGTCGGAGACGACTGAACGAATGAAAAACAACAGTCATGGGGGTTTTGTGTGGGAAGTTTGGCCCAATTCTATCATTGGTGAGGTTCAGAATGTTCTTTCATTGTAGGTGAACTATAAATCCCAGCAACTACAACTCCCAAATGTCAAGGTCTATTTTCCCCAAACTCCACCAGTGTTCACATTTGGGCATATTGAGTATTTGTGCCAAGTTTGGTCCAGATCCATCATTGTTTGAGTCCACAGTGCTCTCTGGATGTAGGTGAACTACAACTCCAAAATTCAAGGTCAATGCCCACCAAACTCTTTCAGTATTTTCTGTTAGTCATGGTTCCAGAATGTGTGCAAAAAGATTATGGGGATTTGCAGCATCTTTTAACATTTGTAATTTTTTTTTACTAAACAAAAAGGAAAGAACAGGGTTGGACTTGCCAATGGGCAAATTACAATATGCAACAAAATGTTGCCACCTATTTTCCTTCTAGAAAGGAGTGCTCCTATTCAGGGTTCTAGACAAACATTTCCTCCAACCAGGGCATTTCGCTCTAAACAGTCTTCTTTTCCAATTGCTGCTGTTCACTGAGTGTGCACAGTCCTCCCTAGGCCACTTTGGGCATGCTTTTTTGCTTGCTCTCAATTAGTTTTTTAAAAAAGAATTTCATTTTATATATCCTGCATGCACAAACGTGATGACATCTCCTTCTTGCTCACTGCGCCTGAATTAACACTCACTGTTTGAATTTGCACAGTGATAACACACTGTGGCTATGATTCCATATGATCTGCCATGGCAACATCCTATGGTATTCTGGGAATTTAGCTTAAAGAGGTGTATTCTGAATCCTCAACCAGTAGCCTCTGACCAAACGCCATCGCTGCATCCCAGGAGGATTCTATGGCCATTACTATAGAATCATGGTGCTGTAAGTGTGTAGTGTGAATGAGTCCTGAGTATGCCATTATTCAAGTGCAATTCTGGACGTTGAAACATACTCCCCATAATTCAAAACAAAATGGCATATGACAGCTTACTAGCCTCCAACTTTCCAGTCATAAGACATTTTTAACAGACTGCTTAGCAATTCCTTTGGCTGTTTGAGAGGAAGTAGAAGATGTACTGGAGGAGGCTGATGTGGAACCCCACAATACAGGTTACTTCATATTTTCCAGTTCCCACTTGGGAAAAGAATTATAGGAAGCTGCCATACATTGCGTCTGCTACTTATCTGCTTACCCCAATTGTTGAACCATGGTTGAAAGCAATCCTTCGGTGCCCTAGGAAAGGCATTTTCCCAGCCTACCTGATTTTGTTTTTTATCATGTCAGAAGCAAATTGAGAATATACTGCAAGTCGCTTTTGGTATGAGATAATTGTCCATCTACAAAGAGGTTGCCCAGATATGTTGCCAGCCTGTGGGAGGCTTCCCTCATGTCCCCGCATGGGAAGCTGGGGCTGACAGATGGGAGCTCACCTCAACTCACGGATTAAAACCGCTGACCTTCAAGTCTTCAGGTCAGCAGTTCAGCCGGCACAAGAGTGTAACCCCTTGTGCCACCATGGCTCATAGCCCTACTTGATGATGTTAGTGATTGACCCTGAGACCTTCTGCGGGTGTTCTGTCAATGAGCTGGACTAGATTTCTGCAGAAACTATGCACTCTAGACTAAAACAGACCATGTCCATCTGGCAAATCATAAACCACTCGTGCAAGGGCTCTGAATGATATGACATTAAAATATGAAACTTACCACAGCCAAGGTTGGTGGGGGTGGAGGTGCTGGAGGAGGAGGGATAGGCATGATCTAGGTTGAATCACTCTTCAATCACCGTGAAACCTGTCAAGAAACCAATATAATATATTAAACTTTTCAAAAATTCAGGTCATGTTCTGTAGTGAAAGGCAGGGAATACTCGTTATAGCTCTCAAATCCCAGATCAATAATATATTGATAGTGATAATACAGTAGACCCTTTATATCCAAAGATTCTACATCCATGGATCTAACAACACACAGTTTGAAGATATTCCTCCTAAAAATAATTCTAAAAAGCAAAACTTGATTTTGCTATTTTATAGCAAATTTTATATAATGAGACTTGAGTTTTGGTATCCACAAGTGGTTTGGAAACAAACTCAAGCAGATATTGGGATCCCACTGTGATACCACTGCTAATAAACAGAAATGAAATAAGAGGAACAAAAACAGAATAGTTTTAAGGCAGAATATGACATTTTTCTAGCAGGGGAACCTGTATTCAGACTCAGTTCAACCATGGTCTACAGTTGGTAATCTCAGGCCTTTAACTCTTTGTGTAATTTTCTTTATAGGACTGAGGGTACTATTAAGGAAGGAAAAGGTGTGTTTCACTTTGAATTCCTCTGAAAAAGGGTGAGTTAAAAATGAATTCAAATGAAGCGCTTCAAAACAGCTCAACTCTTTATATTGCCACTGCACCACTGCTTGTAAGAATTCAAAGGTCTAAATCTTAGAGCCAACACTAACAGCAATTTCACACTTTCAAGACATTTATGTGTATTTTCACATCTCCAGATGTGCAAAAGCACAGCATGAGAAAGCTGCCTTGTTTCCATTTTTCAATGCAAGTCAGCATTCCAGAAGTGGGAGCAGAGTTAACATCGTCCCAAAAACAGGCTGATATGGATGCATCTCCACACTAGATCTTAAGATAACATGCAACATCAGTGACTCTATATACCAAAAATAATGTAATAAGTAGAAGAAAGAGAAATTCAACCTGCTCAATGCATGCAGCGAGCTCATTCCATGGTTGCAAGAAAAGCAACCTTTATTCAGGATTTCACCCTTAACATTAGGTATAGCTTGAACGTGGCACATTATGAGGAATTATAAAGAAGACTGTAATGAGGCTGCAATTATAAAACTAAAGGAGAATCTGGAAATATTATAACAAGTAATGTTTATCTGTTACTTGAGGGTTTTTTTAATAGTTCATTTTCTTATATTTTGAGATAAGATTTTTCACCCCAAAAGCAATGCAATGAATGCTATTAAAATATGCCATGAGAATTAGATGAGAATGTAATTGCTTTTTTAAACAGTGAATTTCTAAGTTCTGGACAGAATGAGGTAGATGGATGGCCTACTGTGGATGGAGGCAGTAGTATTTTGCTGCTTTGTGTGCCGGAGCAAGTGCATTAACTATAGCCTAGGAAGCAGAATGCTGAAGCAAATGTTTATGCGTGTGTGATATTTAAAAAGTTACTGCTACTCAAAGTGTTAGTCCCTGGACTGGTGCCAGCCTTGTGCAAGTGACTGCTGACCCCTGGCAAGTTTCCAGTGGAAAAAAAATGAAACAATTGTACCCATGGGCACAAATTCAGTTCTGTTCCTTTGCACAACTGAAAAAAAATAATTGCCAGTCCGCCACTTCTAATAGACCGAGAAGGATTGGTCTAGGTGATATAAAGCATCATTATTCATTGCATTGGGGAATGGTGGACAGGACGAACTAAGAAAGCAGTTCAAGCCAATCTAACTGTGTCTGGTACCAAACTATTTGGCAGGGTGGTACTGGAAATGCATGAATCGCTTCCCCTAGCTTTAACTTAGGGCTGCTTCTTACATTACATGATTGTAATGTAGCTCTCTTAACAGCACCAGGAGGATTTTCTGGCTGCCAAAGAGTTGCTTGGAGCCTGGAATTTGCTTGGAAGTAAAGCCATGAGAAAAAGGGAAGGGTAAACAAACATACCACCTGTGGCATTTCCCCGCAAATAATATTTAATCAACAACATGTTTTCAGATTATACTCTACTTTGCTATACTGAGAATGATTTATGTCTGCTGATGATATCTCATCTCTCTGGGCCCTTCCACAAAGCCCTATATTCCAGAATATCAAGGCAGAGAATCCCACAATATCTGCTTTGAACTGCGTTAACTCAGTCCACACGCAGATAATGTGGGATTTTCTGCCTTGATATTCTGGAAAATAGGGCTGTGCGGAAGGGCCCTCTCTCTCCCCCTCCATATAAAAATACACAATCCTAGACAAGTCTTTCATCCTGCTTTCTTTGTTGAGGATCTACAGATGACTTTATTTCTTCCTATCTAAACCCTGTCTTATTATCTCCACTGCTTTTCCTATCTTTAACCTTGATGCATAAAATCCACTGAGAAAACAGATGGAACATCGGTAAAGTAACCTGTCATTGCTACTACAGTGTTCCCTCGCCACTTTACAGTTCACTTTTAGCGGATTCGCTGTTTCACGGGTTTTTGAAAATATTAATATAAAACATGAAATATTTACATCCAGTGGAGGCCAGGGATCCTGGAAGTGCGGCAGCCTGAGGTGTGGTAGGGAAGGCCTGCCTCCCTGGCCTGCTGCTGCCTGCGTGGCTCTGGAGGCTCTGCCGGGGTCTGCAGAGGCCAGGGAGGCAGGCAAGTGTCCTTGGAATGGGCCGGGAGGCGAGTAAGGAGGTGCGGGTAAGAAAATTTTATATATAGTGTTAGGAGATATTAAAATTAATATGGCGTCCCTACTTCGCGGATTTTCACTTATTGCGGGTGGTCCTGGATCGGAATCCCCACAGTAAGTGAGGGAACACTGTACAAGCAGCCCTTTGACTGGATACACTAAGAGCCCTTCCAGACAGGCCCTATATCCCAGGATGTGGTCCCAGGTTTTCTTTTTATCCGAGATTATCTGTCAGTGCAGATTCATTTAATCCAGTTTAAAGCAGAAAACCTGGGATCAGATCCTGGGATATATGGCCTGTCTGGAAGGGCCCCATGTCTGGAGAAATAAAATAGTCAGAGATACAATTTAAAGCAAACAATAAAAACTATACCCAGTGGAATCTACTTGAAGGGTTCACTCAGTACTTATTTCTCCTCCATTCTTACACATACTAAAACCTTAAAGATTACCACCATAAAGGAAAAAGTCATGACATTGGCAGACGATTTGATTATTCTAGTGTTAAGCATATTGCTAGCATTTTTCATGGCACCAAAATAGTCATTACCCATCTCCATTTTACACCTAAAGCTTAGAATCTGTAACACATTAGAAGGAGAATTTGTTCAACTTCCTGCTCAAAATGGTCAACAGGAAAATTAGTTCTCAGAGCAAACCACAACCATCCTGTTTGAGTGTATGGTGTTTTTCCAATGCTCTAACAGCCTGTAGTTCTGTGCTGTACAGCCAGCAAATGCTGACAAAAGAATTCCCTACCTATTTTTATTAGCTGCTATAATCTAGCTTAGCTGTGTCAGTTACACTGACAAGAGGCTTCTTATTTAAATGCAGTAATCAGAACAGGGTTCACTCAAAGCATTTTCCCATGTTGCAAGAAGAGCCAGAAGGCTGGTACAAAGGAGGCCCCTCTCCTCAAACACCTAGCACAACGTTTTTCTTATCAGCATACACTGCAAGATAGAGAATGACAGAAACATCCTCACCGAGACATTATCTGCAGATACACTGGCACTGTGGACTAAACCTGAATTTACAAACTTCATACAATGGTGAAAGTCTGTTGATTAAAACCAGTCTTCCTAAATGTCAGAAAACGCTGTAGCCATGGTACAAAATGAATGTTGTATTTAGTTGCCAGTGCTTGCAGTAACATAGTTGGATCAAAAACAACTAGACTTATCTTCATGCTTGTATCCTCTATGATCACAGATGGAGCAGTTGGGTAGCTCCTTTGACAAATTTTCTATTATTGGAGCCTAAGTACTTGAAATGCACCGGATCCTGTCTGATTGTGTGCGCTCAGTAGCCAGCTCTGGTTAGTATTTGGACAGGAGGCCACCAATGTATACCAGGTGCTGTAACTCAGAGGAAGAAAGTGGCAAAAGCAGCTCTGAGGATTCCTTGTATAAGAAAATGGAGGATTCATTTTCCTACAACAACCCGGAGGATTCCTTGTCTAAGAAAACTTAAAGTTCATAGAGTTGCCATATATCCTCGGATTATGTGATTTTAAAATTGTGTTTGATGTTTTATTGTTTTTAATTTGTTTTAATGTACATGTCTATTTTCTATTCTATCAAATTGCTGACAGATGTAAGGCTGCTCTGAGTCCCCTTTGGGGTTGAGAAGGTCAGGATGTAAATATAGTAAATAAATAAATACGTCGACATGCAATGTGAAGATATGGAGACACGACAGCAATATGTTTGCATATGAGCACATATGTACCCACAAGAGAGCAATAGTTGTGTAGGACTATGACTCTGAAGACCAGTGTTCTCATCCTCACTCAGCCATGGAAGCCCACTTGGGCAAGCCCCACTTTCTCAGATGCAGGGAAAGGAGAGGACAAGCCCTCTCTGAACACATCTTGCCAAGAAACCCCGGTGACACGTTAAATGACGAGAAAGATTGAAAGTAATAGAAGCCTTTTAATATTTCTTATATTTCTCTCTTCTCATCTTTTTTGTTTTCAGAAATAACCTTGCTCCTGATTAAGGACCATATTGCAAACTACACAAAAACCTATTCCCTACTGCACATTTTATCTTCCTTTTGCACACCATAAGTGCAGTTACATATTCAAATGGTGTCTGGATCTGAAACATTATCAGAACTACATGTGGGCACACAACAATGCAATAATTGACAAAAAGATTCCAGTCCAAGTGCTTCCCCAGGCCAGGGCTTCTTAAACTTTTTCTACTTGTGACCTTTTTCTGCCCAAGAAATATTTTCGTGATTCCTTTCTGCCTGATAAATGTTTGTGTGACCCCAAGTATATAGGTATACAAAATCAAACATTTATTTATAATAAATCAGCATTTGTAAAGCTTGCTAAACAGGCTGATTTCCCTTTTTATGAAGT